TTCCATCAGTTGTTGTTACTCAAATAACTGGTGAACGTATTGGTAAAGCTAAAGGTTATGGTGATTTAGAATACGCAATTATGTCACAAATGGGTTGTGTATCAAATAAAACAATTATAATGACAACATGTCATGAAAGTCAATTAATTAATGATATACCAAATTATATTATGGAACAACATGATTTACCAGTAGATATTATTGTGACACCAAAACGATATATTTATACAAAACGTTTATTTCAACGACCAACACGTGTCTATTGGAATAAACTTGATCCAGATATGATGATAAGTATTCCGGTTTTACAAGAATTAAAACGATTAGAACAACAAAATATTATTAAATCTCAATAAAAAAAAAAAAAAAAAAAAAGAAATTATATCAAAATGGTTTCTTTTTTTGTTTGTGTGTCAGATGTTTATTTAATTTAAAGTATGAATTTACAGTGAGATATTTTTTTTGTAAATTAAAAAGCAAAACGATAATAATAATTATAAAGTCAATAGATGTTTTCTCATGAATAAGAATCTCTTAGAAGAAAAATCAGTCCGTATACTCATATTTTTGTCATTCTTTTATTTTCCTCTATTTTATTTGATGTGCACAGATGACATTTTTGTTTTTTTTTTAGTGTCTCGCTTTCCATGTGTATATTGTTGTTCATTTGTTATGATGTATATTGTTTAGTTTTGTTTGTTCAGATGAATAAATTTATAAAATCAATAAAATAGAATGTTGTTTCGTTCGTTTTTATTGTTGTATTTAATTAAAAAAAAAGATTTAATAAAAATATTTATTTATTTTATGTTATTTTTCTTCAATTATTTGCTTTGTGTTTGAGAAATATTTATCATACAAAGAGTATTGATTTACTAGTTAAAAGATTCTAAATATTAAATAAAATTTGTTCTAACTAGTGTAAGAAGAGTATAATTGTGTTCAGTTAATGATGTTTTTGAAAAATTCCAATTAATAAAAAAGCTTTGTTGTAGACAAAAAAACAGAGAAAAAATGGCTGATAATTATGATATATCACGAAATCCAAGTGATTTACCTAAAT